CCCCAAAACCCCAAAACCCCAAAACCCCAAAACCCCTAGGAAGGTAAAGTTATTGAAGGAAGAATAAGAAGGAATTACTTCATAATGTTCTTCAAGGTCATAGCTTCTCTATCTGAGATTGGGACATCCATGCTTTCGATCTTCTTTTCGAGCTTAAGCCATCTGGTGACAATCTTTTCAGCCTTCTTTCTGTTCTTAAGGATTTCCTTGTCATCAGTGTCGACTGGCTTTTGCAAGTCAACGCAATGAGCACAGTTATCGCACAGGTTAGGGAAGGTATGGATGAATGGATTTTTGGTCTCCAAGATACTACTTGGCTTCCATGGATCTTCATCTCCGTTCATGTAGATAACTTTGCTGATAGCTGGGTTAGCACCTCCATATCTGATGTTCCAGTGAGTGGATTTAGGAGAGGTTGGTCTTCCGAAGATTCTTGAACAGTAATCAATCCAGAAGTTCATATCTAATCCCTTATTCTTAAGAGGTTCAGTGTTTTTAGCAGGGGTCTGAAGGTATCCAAATTGATTACAGTATTGGTAAGTCCATTGTCTCCCGTTCTTAGAGAAATCGATTTTCTCTTCTTGAAGAGAAACAGACCAGTAGTCATCTCTTCCCATTCTTGCTCCAACTTGCCATTCATAAATCATTTTATTAATAGCTTCATAGTCCTTATTTAAGTCATGGACTCTTTGGCAGAGCTCAGATCTTCCTCCATATTGAATAGTCTCAGCAATAACATCTGAGTAGAACCAGTGGAATTCGTCGTCTCTCATATCTGGAGCATTCCAGACAGCCTTAATGGCATCTCCTCTTCCAGCTTCAAACTCATCATTAGTGTATTGAACTAAATCTTCGACGGCTTCGGCACATTGATCCCCGTTCTTATCAAGAGCGTAGTGGACAACCTCATCGAATTGGTAGAAGTCTTCAATAGCATTGACAACTCCTGATGAAGACCAGGATCCTAAAGCAATATGAGGATACTTATTTCTGAACCAAGAAACGAGAGCTCCTGGGTAGCTTCCTCCGAAAAGTAGCCATCTCTTGGCTGGAATGTTGTGCTTTTCAGCTAATTCCTCAGCAAAAGTAGAAGCAAACAATGCAATATCTGCCAAAGCTTGGTCAGTGTTAAGGAACTTGAGGTTTTCAGTACTCCAGTCTTCAGCAGGTTGACTCATTCCATAGTATCTATGTTCATGAACAACAAGCATAGCTCCATGTTCCTTAGCTAAATGAGCAATGTACCCAGTCTCTGGCTGGTTGCTACAGGTCCATTCTCCACAAAGGTATAAGAAGAGAGGTCCTCCTCCATTCTCAGCACTCCACCACTGATCGTTCACCCAGTACCTCTGCTTGAAGGTGTCATGGTTCTGCAAGTCGAAATGGTCAACCTTCTGGTCGAACCAGAGATAGTCTACATCATTGCTAACCTCTTGTGGGCCGAATGGATCTCTAAAATAATTAATTCTTCTGAATTACCTCATTCTTGCTTCGCTAGTCATCACTAAACAGAGTAGGACAACTGCGAGGTAAAGTCTGTTGGTCAAAGACATTATTCTTTACCGATATATTAATTATATAATCTCAACCTCTTACCCTTTAATAGGGGTTTTGGGGTTTTGGGGTTTTGGGGTTTTGGGG